AGTCGTGCGTAATGTGGTCCCTTCTTGGGTCCCCAGGATGCGGACTTGGTCCTTTCACTTCAAAATGAATCTGTTGCTGTTGCTGTTAGTGTTGATGTTGGTGTTGGTGTTGTGTTTTTGTTACCTAAGCCCCGGCATAAAGTTGGCAAATGAAGTGCCAAAAGTTGCTTGTCTAGACAAAAAAGTGAAGCCGATGCAAAGTTAGCAGCATTTTGTCTTGCTTTGACTCACTCAACCTGGGTGTGATGTTATTTCGATATGGTATCCATCACAACCTCCTTGAGTGAGCGATAGCAGGACAGAGTATCCACGAAACTAACTACAAAATATCACAAAAAGTGAAGAGATACGTACACAATCACACTGTAGGAATGGCAATTAGAAGCAGCAACTTCATTTACATGTACGGATGCATTTCTATATCTTTTGATTGCCATTTAACCTAAGTGAGTAAACTTTGAATGAAATGCCAGTAAGATAATAAAATGATTACCTAAAAGCCTCGTTTGTTTTTTACATTTTCTTTCCTGACTATATTTCATTAAAGTAATCAAATCATATGTAAGATTTGAAACGAAAACAAATGACTTAAAGCATCTGGAATTTAGAGGCCGCGGGCGAAATTCAAAAGCATGTCAATTTAATAACGCCTAATGGCACGAATCATTTCGGGCAATAAATGTATAAGTGCATGTGGCACTCGCAGGAAAGGAATGTCATCTGATACCGCCAGCTTCCGGAACTGCTGCCCCCCACTCCTGGATGCCGTGCCCCCGGGGACAAGCGGATGGGGCCATGATATGGATGTCATATGGATGGCATACTCCGGGCAGCTTCTTGTGGCAAATATTTACCTTTTGGGGCCTTTGGCATCCCGCATGGCTGTGTGCTCTCTATGAGAAAATAACATTTGCAATTTAAAGCACTTGAGACATGAGTCACTGGGTGAGGTGGCTGGATATCTGTATATGCATATATCAGCACGGATATACCCATATCAATACCCCGCATCTCTGGCTAATGGCAAATTTCCAGTACTTTTTCGTTATTACTCTTGTGGCTAAATTGCGATTATTTATTAATTAAATTTGTTATGACAACACAAGATGCAAAGTCATTTGTTTGCCTCGCTGCGTGTGGGTTTCTGTGGGTTTCTGTGGCTTTCGGGCCAGAAAGCCCGAGAAAACCACGTAAAATACAAGCGGACAGTCCGGGCTATATTATAAGACTCAGCCGGTTGGCTGTCCTGCTCTTAAGCTATTTTATTGAGTTTTCCACGCACATCCGTCCCTTTTCAAACCCTTTTTGGGCCACCCACCCACACACATCGCACAACAAAGGCTTTCATTTTTAATGCCGAGCAGACGGTTAAGCATAATTATGTTTGTCGATGGGGCGGAGTTCAGATTTTCGACCCCGAACAGGTGCACAAAGGTAAAATAATACAGCTCCGGCATTTTAAGCTGGCTTTAAGAGCTCGGCAAAGTTTATCCGCTGGCTTTAAATTAACCCCGTTTCGGTGGCTCTTGGGCCGTAATATCCAGAGTAAACCAACTTGAGCTCGACACTTATGAGACATGTTCCTGCCACTTTGCACTTTAGCGAAAATTTTGGCCGCCAGCACTTTTGCCGCTCGTGTCGAAGTGCGTCCAGCTGAGCAACAAGAGTTATGTAATTGACTCGAAATGCCCTCGGAGCATTTGGAAATTTAAACAGCAGCAAAGTTTCGCGTGACGACAAGGAAAAATTGGCGAAAAAATGAAGATTTCTCATTTTCCGAGCGTTTTAATTTGTGCGAAATTAAGCAAAAAATAAACTCATTTTGCCAGCTGCAGCAGCAGCAGCATCACAAACATGGCGAAACTTTTTCGATAGCTGTCTGACAACAAAGCGAAAAATCTAAAAAAAAAAGAAAGAAAAAAAACGAAGTAAAAAGCTGGAAAAACTTTCAGCGGAAGTTGATGGCAGGAAAACTCGAGTAAAATGTGCACGAAATTGTCTCTGCGCGGAAGAAAAATCTATGCGATTGAGGAGAAATTGCAAAATTCAATGCCCGCCGTAGTCTGAGCCTCCGGCTTTTTCCATTACGGCATCTTCATTCCGGCTACGGCACATGCCACGCCCCCCGCCACCTGACCGCCTGCGCATTTTGGCCATGACTTAGTGTCGACTTCATGCAAAGCTCTCCCCCCGCCGACGGTGATTTAGTTGTTAGCCTGCGGACAAACATTTCATGGCTCGGTGTGCTCAATTCAATCAATTGCCATCGACAGACGGCAGTCTGCAAGGATACCTCACATCCTGTCGACCGCCAGCCCCGGTGCAATTTTAATCAAAATTCGCATGTGTGCGAAGGCGGCTGCCTTTAGTTGTCGCAGGTTGGCGTAATGGCGACATCGCACAGGATGAACACGGATATCGGGGATTTGCTTGCGGCTCAAGCCTTTGTTAGCCCACTTGATATTTGGCCACGTTGCGCATTAAGACCATTCTTAACTCGACGAAAGCAACCTGCCATCAATCCAAAACATTCAAATTTCCTCTGCAACGCAACCTAAGATCTCCTTGGTCTACATAGTCTTGCAGAAATGTAAGGTTCTTGAAGCTACAACGCCTCGATTTATTGAATTGCAAAGGCAATGAGTTCCTAAGAACAAATTTAAATGGAATTGGGATATAGTTTAAGCCTAACTATTTCTTTTCTTGGGAAAGCACTTTGGAAACTCGGTGGAACAACATCACGAGTGCAGTCCTTGGACTATTTGTCAGCCCAGCAATCTCCTTTTGTTATTCACAGGCCATAGAGAGTGGGCTCCATCCATTTGGCTAATTGTTCAGTTTGTTTTACGTGTAAGGCTACAAATTGGCCGAAGCACACGTTTCCCCAGACAGCTAGTCAGTGGCGTAGTATCCGTGGTGCCCGTAGTGAAAACACCGAGTGCACGTTCCGCTTTCCCGTGCCACCCCCACCCGCCGAAAAAGGAGCCAAAAGGTCCTGCCGCCTGCCGCCTGCCGCCTGTCGGGTTCATAATAATTTAAATGCTGGGCACACAGAGTGACATGGCAAAGACAAACAGAGGTCAAGCTGCGTCAGTGGGACCGTTGCAGCAGAAGCAACTGCAAATGGCTACGTGACCGGATGCACTGCAGCGGCATGCATTTAAATCCAAAAGCGGCAGCACCAGAATTAGCACGACAAAGGGTTGCCAGTCGCAGTGTCCTAACAACCGGGGGATTTGGCATTCCGGAGTGAGCGGAACCGGCTTGAGTTAATTTACCCTGGCAAGCAACAAGCTCTGCGCAAACACCAAACGACAAACGGTCTACAGTTCTGCCACCATGACCACCCATGACCACCCCTGAGTCCAAGTCCCATTCCCAGCCAGCATCTGGATCCGAGTCCGAGTCCGAGTCCGAAAGGCTTGGGCCCTTCAGATCAACTGCCGAGCAAACAAATGGCGTTGCAATTGAGCACGTTTTTGTCGAGCAATGGAAATGAACTGCGACACGGTGATTCAGTTTGGCCAGCGCCAAGAGCTGCAAATGGAAGTCGCAGTCAAAGTTCGGGCCTAAGTTTTAGCCCGTCCATGCTGCCCAGTTCATGTGGCAGGTCAAGTGGCATGCGGCAGCTGACAGGACGTGCGCCCCATGATGTTTTCGCAGGACATGAGTGCCTCCGACTAAGCACACTGTACTGCTCCGCGCTGGGTTCTTGTGCGCATTCCTTATGGAAAATCAAATAATATAGGAAGACTGCACTTGTGGCACTCTGAACATACAGAAATTCATATAGGTTGTAAATAAAACACACTTCAATGCTAATTCAAAACCAAATGGCTTCCAAGTGCAAGTCGAAAAAAAGGGTGGGCTTTTTCAAAGTTCCTGTTACCTAACCAGTATGAAGAAGCTATGTTTGAGGCCAGTCCATCTGCATGACCTGGCTTAATGGATCGAAAAATCGTAATTGGAAACGAGGCAGTTCAGCAGGGCTGTCCCACTAAGTGGGCGATCACTCGGGCTGCAAGTGGCTGAATGCCACAATGCATATTGGGGCACAGCACGCACCTAGAGAATCCTGGCCAAAAGACAATGGCAGAAAGTCAAACTAGGTAAAGGAGAAAAAAGTACGGCAAATTGGCAGGGAGCAAGCATACGGCAGAGATACAAACAAGGTACTGGGTGAACCGCAAAAAGGATCAACTTTTGGCCCTATTTTTTCAACGTTAGTGAGCACCAGCGGCAGACTGGGGCCGGCATAAAAGAAACATAACTAATTTGCATAAAATGCGGAAACACGGCAGCAGCACACAGATATCTCAGTTTGTCCGGCGCGGAGGGAGTGGAAATACGGAAACTTTGTTGACGGAAATGGGGCAAAATGGCCAGTGGAGAGTTGACGCCAAAAGGCAAACCAGCTGCGAGCCAGCGGTTTTGAGCCAGGTTTCGCCTTCTCAGGTACACACCTTCGCCTTCGTATGTGTGTGTTTGCCAGACTCTTTTAGCCAGAATTCACAAAATACAAAACTAAGTGCGGGCCAGCAAACTCCGCAACGCCCAAGTCTTTAGGTGAGCGGAAACTTTTGCATGACAAAGTGAAAGTGGAGTGTGTGGGCGGCGAAAGTTGGCACTGGCCACCATATTAGCGGTTTGCAGAATATTCCAAGATAAGACAGAGGCTAGCTGCCTACAAGGCATGCACTGCGAAAGAAATGCTAACTATATCTATATTTAAAGGTTTATAGTATTTTGTTTGCTTATCAATATCCAGGCACTCAATGCTTCCACAAGTATATACAAAGTATATACATAAATATACAATTGATATAATAGGGGCACGTTGAAATATGTATAAGCTCATGAAATATACTCGTTTGCCTTACGCATTTATTCTCTGTGTGTGCAAAACTTTCCCTGGAGTTTCGCATTATGCAAAGGAGGAACCCTTACAAAGTGGAATATCTTAGCATGCTGATATCATGTTTCCCCCTCCTCACTTGCAGCATGGTCAACCAGTCGATGCCCGACGCCTACAAAGCCCGGATGTTGGTGACTCGTGCCCTGAGCGTTTGGGAATACCACTCGAAGCTGACATTCCGCGAGGTCTACAGCGACCAGGCCGACATCCAGATACTCTTTGCACGGTGAGTACTCGCAAAATCTACGGGGATTGCGAGTTTGCGGATTGGGGATGGCATGGATACGAGCACTGGTAGGTGGGGGAGATCATAAAAAATGCGAGTCTTTAGTGCCATAAACAAACGCACATAAAATTGCACTTAAAAGCAGGCGAACGATAAATAAGCCAAGTATTAAATCCATGGAACGACGTCGATGATGAAATGCCACCGATGACAAAGTCGATGGCCGAGATGCGAGTTGCGAGGAGCGAGGAGCCAGGGCAGCTCTGCCGTGTCTGAATCAAAGAGTTTATGTGGCAGCTGCTTGTTCTTAGATAAGCTGTGAATATGATTTCCCCCTGGCCGTGCTCGTAATTCCCTTGAATTCCACCGAACTAATCCTGTACATCCTTGTTGGACCTTTTCCTAACGCTTTGCAGGCGCCAGCACGGCGATGGCTATCAATTCGATGGACCTGGTCAGGTGCTGGCCCACGCCTTCTATCCCTCCGAGGGGCGTGGCGGAGATGCCCACTTCGATGCCGACGAGACCTGGAACTTTGACAGCGGAACCCATAATAGGCGCGGTGAGTGCAGTCCATCAAGTCCATTTGCGTTCTGGCCATGCCACATAATAATGTGCTCCTTGTGACGTTAACTAATTGCATTAGAGAGCAATAGTGTTTGGGCTGTGCTGTCTGGTCTGTGGTTTTTTTGGGTTTACACTGGAAAAAATGCTTGAATTGATATCCTTAGTTGTACAACAACGTTTGCCAAATCGACTCCTAAATATCATTGTGCACTACAATTCATTATAATTAATTTGAAAATTGATTGTTACTACTATAATATAGTAGTCATAAATATAATAGTATAAATAGTATAAAATAGTAGTCAAGCACGACTAACTAATTGAGTTGTAGCATGCATTTTTTGGCATAATTGAGCTATGTTTTTTGGCAAGTGCAGTAACCACACGCGGGCAAAATCAATAAAAGCTGCATACGCTGCTGCGGCAGCGAATAAGGAATAGGTCGGGAAGATGGCCCACACCGGAGGGCAGGAGGCGGTGGATGAGAAGACCATGACTGGCGACGCGTTGCCTGCAGCCTGCCGCCTGCCGCTTGCGTTTTGTAATTTAGCACAATAAATCGTCAGGACAGACCCCAAAGACCCCTGAAACACCGAGGACTCCGAATTGCGCTTCGGCATTTTTAATGGTTTTTAATGCCAATAAAAAATTGTCAGCATGACGCGTGACGTTGGCAGCCATTTTAAAATGTTGCAAGCGTCGCCATTTTTATGCCACTTACAAAGTCGTCAAGGCGACGAGCCCGTCTTGCCCCACCCCGTTCCGCCCGTACTTGGCCCTTTTTTCTCGCCCGCCATTAACCAGTCAGCGTATTTATGTTGCATTCCGTGTCGTGTCGTTGCAGGAACCAATTTTCTGAACGTGGCCCTGCACGAACTGGGTCATTCTCTGGGACTGGGCCACTCCTCGGACCCGAAGGCGGTCATGTTTGCGTGGTACCAGGACATTGACGTGGAGGGAAAACTGCCCGACGACGATCGCAACGGCATCCAGGAGTTGTACGGCTCCAGGGAGAAGACCTGGGGACCCTACAGACCACAAACCACACCAACCACAACAACCACGACGACCATGCGCACGATGGTTTACCGGGCAGATAATCCGCCCTACCGCCCCTGGTACGATCCCAGCAAGAATCCCAACAAGGAACGTAATTGGGCCAGGGAGCGCCAGGAGGAGGAGCGGAGGCGTAAGGAACAGGAGTGGAGGCGTCAGGAACAGGAGCGAGAAGAGCGGGAGCGAGAAGAACAGGAGCGAGAAAAGAAGGAGCGAGAAGAGCAGGAGCGAGAAGAGGAGGAGCGAGAAGAGAAGGAGCGAAAGAAGCAGGAGCGTCAGAAACAGGAGCGAGAAGAGAAGGTGCGACAGGAGCGGAGGCGTCAGGAACAGGACCGAGAAGAGCAGGATAATCGCCGACGCGAAAGAGAACGTGACCGCCAATATGAGAAAGAGCAAAGAGAGCGGCACGAGCGACAGGAGCGGTTGAACCGGGAACGTAAGAATAGGGAGCGGTATGGAGTCCGGGCACCAGTTACTCCTCCAAGCACGACCACCATGAGACCCACCCGCAAGCCATATTACACCATTGTTCACCAGCAGAACCACCACCATAAAAAGCAGCGGAAACTCAAGCCGGACACCTGTATGACTAGCTACGATGCCATCTCGATGATCCGCAGCGAACTGTTCATCTTCCGGGGACCGGTAAGTTTGCAATTCAAAACCCTATGTACATGGGTGTACTTGTACGAGTATATTACCAACGATTACCTATGAAATCTCGTTTGACAGTACCTGTGGCGCATTGGAAAATCGGGTCTGTATCCTGGCTATCCCACGGAGATCAGGAGACAGTGGTCCGCTCTGCCCGTGAATCTCACCCAGGTGGATGCTGTTTACGAGAACCAACAAGGACATATTGTGTTCTTCATAGGTGAGTTAGATCTGGAAATTCAATGATTTAAAAAGAAAAAAACAATATAAATGATAAAAGCTTCTTGAAATAAATAACCATTACTCTGCTTTTTTGTGCCCCAGGTCGCCAGTATTATGTATTCAACTCGGTAAACCTGGAACCTGGCTACCCAAAACCACTTGTCAGTATGGGTCTGCCGCCCACTTTGACCCACATCGATGCCGCCTTCGTTTGGGGCCACAACAACCACACCTTCTTGACCAGCGACACACTGTACTGGCGCATCGACGACAATACGGGGGAGGTGGAGCCTAGTTATCCGCGGGACATGAGCCTCTGGTCGGGAGTGGGCTACAAAATCGATGCGGCATTCCAGTACAAGGATGGCAAGACGTACTTCTTTAAGAATCTGGGCTACTGGGAGTTCGACGACGATCGCATGAAGGTGGCCCATGCCAGGCCTAAGCTGTCGGCGCCAAAGTGGATGCAGTGCGCTCGGGGCTCTAACGAGGTGGACGACGAGCTGCGCTGGACGGCTCCCTTGGTATCCGCGGAGAACGAAGATGGGGAAACGGGGAGAAGCGGCTCCAGGGAGCTAAGGATCAACCTCATCCTTATTTCGATCCTTTTGCTAGCCATCGCGACTTGGCGGAGTTAAGATTAAATATGGATGGTAGCTTAAAAAATGCCTAGAATTAAGAACAATGGTTCGCCTCAAATTTTTCACAAAAAATTATGGTTTTCGAAATAAAAGCAGGTAAAGCTAGTATTCAACGTCTCGATTAAACAGCTGCTGCAAAATACTTAAGCTAAAAAAAAGTGAAACTCAAATATAAAGACGACACCGAGCGGCCTTTTCTTAGATTTAAGGCAAATAAATCAGTAGACCACATAGTCGCACATAGATGACTAATCTGCGCCAACTTATTCGATTTATTTATGGACACTTGCCAATTGGGCACAGTGGCGCCATCTATTGGACAAATAGCAGGGCTGTTTTACCAGATCTATACACCCGTACATACATATAAGAAAATGCACAAGACTATAGTCTACTTAAACGTAAAAATAAATGTTTCTATTTGTATACAGAAAGCATCGAAATTCGAGACCACTACTGCCTTATGAATAAGTAATAGCAATGACTTTTATTGAAGAAAGTTGGACGGTATATTCCGCTTTTCTTGTTTCGACGAACCTTTCTAATTATTTATATATAAATGTGATATTATCATAAATTCTGAACGATTGTTAACAAAATGTAAACTGAACAAAACAATAACCTTACCTTTTGGTTAGTTTTTAGTTATATTTACATAAGATACTTAAGCTGCGAACTATAATTTTCTACACGTTTTTTACCCAAACAAAACTATATAAATAAAGAAATATATGTATAATGCAAAATTTCGTCACGAAGTGAGTGATTGTGATTTATCACTACTCCATTGAAGGTTTTAAAAGGTAAGTTTTTAGTTAGTGTGTTACCAGCTTGTCATATAAGAGACATAAACCAGTAATAGATTGTAGGGCTTGTAAAAAAACGGCCCTGGTGGGCACAAAAATTTGATATAGCCATGATGACGGAGCTAAAAAACCGAAATGGAAGCTCACCTCGATACAATATTATCTATCATATACGTATCATCGTATCAAACTGAAAATAACGAATATATCATAAGCGATAATATCGTTATCTCCTGTAAAGTTAGTGTGCCTATAACAATGACCGGGCAAAGCAACCAGAAAATGTTTGGCGCTCTGCAGGATATGCAGAATATGCAATTTTTGGAAAATTTAAAAAGCACATCCGCTGCAATGGAGACTTCCGGTCGGCTCATCTTTGTGACACCGCTATCTGGAGCACTGTAGATCCCTGGCGATCGTAATGGCATTGCATTGTAATGATAACTCCGCTGTTAATGGCCTCCGATGACCTTATCTTATCGCCGGGAATTAGCTGCCGTTTGACACAAGGTGTTAATTTAGTGTAACAGTCACCAGCTGTTTGGGTCGGCTAATGGCAACAACATGCGAGATCTTTCGCTCGATTCTACCGGCGTACATATATCGCTCGACTGTCATTAGGCTATGCGTCACCCCACCTCGCAGCCGTGACGTCCACACAGTTCCACAGTTCCAGCGTTCTCCATGTAGTCCCGTCCCCAGAACCATACCCAAAGTAGGCGATTCCACGGCGACTCGGTGACAGTCGCGCGCCCACAGTCAAGCCCAGCGGTACAACACTCGATTTTGGCGAGGAGGCGGCACTTATCAAGTATACGATATCTATTATATACATTCATATATATGCATATATGCATATAGGCCAGCTCGTATTAAATTAAAGACAATTGTGAGTAGAGGTCGCGACAGCACAAAGCTACAACCGACCGGTTGCTTTTGATCCCGGTGCAAAGACAACCTGATATGTGGGTTTACGAGCACTTGAAAACTGATTGGTGATCCCTGCCGATAAGCGGTATCTTTTGTTGCCCCCGGGAGCGGCGTGTTCTTGATTTCGGATAGCGCCTGAGCGCCCATACTAATTACCCGGTTATATACATACGGCTGTTAACAATCCGGAAAGTTTAAATTACATGCTAATCGAGAGCTTACAAGCTCCAGAAATTGCTATTGTATGCACCTATTGTTTCCTTATCCTAGTTTGCCCCTTAACATTTATGACCTCAATTTACCGGTTATTACACAAATATTTTGATTCTGCTTAGGCAGTTGATTAGACATTGATTAGACAGGGCAAGCAAGTTGATTGTCCTCGTGTTCCTGACTTCTACTTAATACTGCTCTTATTGGTCAACGCATTTACTAATCGTTTTAACACTGCGACACACCGAAAATTCCACAGAGATTTATATCTCTACCTAAGTAGCAGCTATATTAATCGAATCGGACCATGTCGAACTTCAGTGACGAAGAAATGGTGGCCATATGGCATGGGTACTATCTAATCGTCCCCCAAGAGACACCAGTTACTGTCATAACTAGGCTGAAATCAGGGCCAAAAGCGACCGTTTGACTAATCGCACCTGGAAAAATTTCAATAAATCAAACCAATGCTTTGCATCGAACAGGTGGTGATAAGGGAAACCCAGTAGTACCCAAAAGTAGCCATGTCGGAGGCCTATTCGAATTCCATACGCAGCCTGAGTCCAGAGCTGGCGAAAAAGGCGAACGACGAGCTGGGAGAGGTTCCCGAGAGAATCGATGAGGACATCGAAACGCTGCGCACTTGGATCTCCAAGCAACCTCATCTCAAGGCTCGCCAGGATGCCCAGTTTCTGGTGGCCTTCCTGCGGGGCTGCAAATACAGCTTGGAGAAAACCAAACTCAAGCTGGACAACTTCTATGCGATGAGGGGAGCCGTGCCAGAGCTCTACAAGAATCGCATTGTGGGTGAGAAGCAGCTAAGCATTCTGGACACAGGGTGAGATCAACTAGAGATATTAACTAAGATGTCCACTAATCATTTTGTCCAATTGCAGTTGCCTTCTCCGACTGCCACAGCCATTGCAGGCTGATGGTCCACGCATCCACATCTCACGATACGGCCAATACGACTCCAAGAAGTACTCCATTGCCGAGGTTGTCCAGGTAAACACGATGCTCGGTGAGATTCAGATAAGGGAGGACGATAATGCTATGATATCCGGCTTTGTGGAGATCATCGACATGAAGGGCGTTGGGGCAGGCCACCTCTTCCAGTTCGATGCGGTGCTGGTCAAGAAACTGGCCGTCTTGGGCGATAAAGCGTATCCCTATAGGCCCAAGGGCTTCCACTTCGTAAATGCGCCCTCCAGTGCCGAGCGGTTCATGTCCATTGCCAAGAGTCTGATGAGCGAAAAGATTCGGAAGCGGGTGAGTTTATCATGCATATCGTGAACGTGTAGCAACTAATGAACATTGTCTACCCAACCAGTTTCACATCCACTCCAAGCTGGACAGCCTCTACAAGTATGTGCCCAGGGAATGCTTGCCAGCTGAGTATGGGGGCAGCAATGGAACCGTCCAGGACGTCGTCAGTACATGGAGGACCAAGCTCCTGGCCTACAAGCCGTTCTTCGAGGAGGAGGCTTCTTATGGCACGAACGAAAAACTAAGACGGGGACAGCCCGTCAATGCCGAATCACTTTTTGGAATCGAAGGATCCTTCAGAAAACTAGACATCGACTAGTCTAGAGCATAACATATCAAACACAGTAATTTTAATCTATGTACAAACGCAGACAAATCAAAACTAAACAACTAAAAGCTAATTAAGTAAATTTGATTGTCTGGAAACTGGTAAGTACTTCAGTCCTTACAACTTTGCCGCTGCCGCCTGTTTAGACTTTCTGTTAATGAAAGTCAGTGCCTCGTCATGGTAGGGATTTGTGGTATCCCTAACGCGTTCCAACCATTTGGCCACCTTTGGAAACTTCACCTCGTCCACTCTGTATTGGCAGAGCCCTTAAATGCAATAAAAATGCAAATTAGTTTCGTTAACTTATCTCCACTCTAGCTTAACGCACTCAGCTGGTTGATTTGGGAAGAGCCAAGGATGTCAGCGATTGTCAGGTTTTTCCCCACCAAAAAGTCATCTTCCAGCCACAGGAGCTCCATGAGACCCAGATTGGTTTCCACTTCCTCAATCAGTGCTTGAATCTTCTCTGGCTTGGGCTTCGGTGCTATTCCATTAATGGGAAACAGCCAGCCGTCTCGGAAGTACAGGGAACAGGCCAGTCGAATGGTCAGGTGCTGCCACTCAAGGAACTCATCCACTCGAGCACGAGCCTCCACCGACTTCGGATAGAGCTTCTCATCGAACTTACCCTTGTCTGAGAGATATCTGCAAGGGGCAGTGTACGAGCCAAAAGAGAGAAGTAATCCCAATGACCTACCTTATAATCGTTATGGTCTCGGACAAGTGGAAGTCACCATCCACGATGGCCGGCAGCTTCTGGAATCGATTGATCTTCTTGTACTCGTCGGTCAATTGCTCAACTAATACTCGTAAATCATAAATGAGTTGGGGCGGTGTAGATGATTACTTTCACTCACATTTTCGCAGGGCAATGGGGCAATACTCAATGGGCGAGTTGCCCAATTTTAAACCTAACCATAGACCACGGGAGATCGGGGACAGCAAATCGTAATAGAATTTAATTGACTTGGACATGGTGCTCAATTGCCCCTCGTTACTCAATCCCAACTGAGGAACAGCCGGTAAACACGAATCTCACCAGCTGGAAAAATAGAAATTAAACAAAGCTCCAGTCCAAAGATCATTAGTGACACCTTGCAGCACTGGTTGGGCTATTATGGTTGTCTCGCTCTTGGGGGCAAATTCAAATGTGGCTCCTAACTTCAAATACTTCAAATACCAATTAAAAGGCCCAAATAACCAAATTATTTATCTGTCATTTGATAACACAGTAGTTACTAGCATGTAAAAGTGTCTAATTTTAACATTTAGTGGTTTGACAGCGCAGAACTGAACACAATGAACATCGTATAAGGCACAAAAGGGTCTTATAATCCTAATAAATGCAAACAAATAAAATAAACAAGAAAGCAGCCAAAATCGTAGGAAAATCAGTTCTTGGCCTTGGCTGCCTGCTGAGAGGTCTTGTAGATGAAGCTGTGGGCCTCATCATAGTAGGGATTGGTAGCGTCTCGAACGCGCTCCATCCACTTGGCCACCTTGGGGAATTGCTTCTCATTGACGTTGTACTGGCAGAGCTCTAAATGATAAATAATAATCAATTGCATGCACTTAAGATGCTGCAGTAACCTCAGCCTTACTCATCTGGTTGATTTCTGAAGCGCCGAAGATGTCTGCCACGGTTAGTTTGTCTCCGACCAAAAAGTCCTTTTCCAGCCAGAGGCGTTCCAGTAGACCCAAATTGCCCTCCACATCCTTGATAAGCTTCTTGACAACCTCAGGCTTTGGAGCCGGCGCCAGTCCCTTTGCCGGAAGAAACCACACCTGCCGGAAAAACAGGGTGCAGACCAGGCGGACATTTAAGTGCTGCCACTCGAGGAACTCGTCCACTCGGGCCCGATCCTCCAAGGCCTTGGGGTACAGCTGTTCACTGAAGGCTCCTTTGTCCGCGAGATATCTGAAATATGCCATGTACATATATAGTGGTGGTACCCTTATTATCCGAGGTGTCTGCAAACTTGAACTTACCGCACTATGGAGACACTCTCGCCCAACTGAAATTTACCATCCACGATGGCCGGCACCTTTTGGAATCGATTGATGCTGCGGTACTCGTCGGTCAATTGCTCCTCTGGAACATAACCATCCCAAAGTTAGCAGATATGTTCTATATGTTAGTAACTTTCTATTTATTCTTACGCTTTCGCAGGGCAACTGGGCAGTCTTCAAAAGGGGTCTTGCCCAGTTTCATGGCAATCCAAAGGGCGCGGGATGGCTGCGATAGGAAATCGTAATAGTACTTAATTGCCTTCGACATCTTGGCCAAATATTTTCAGCTAACTTAAGCAAAGCCGGTAAACACGAAAACAATATACATATGTATGTACATTTGTAGTTTCTAATGAAATGTCAAAAAGCTCGAAGCAACAAGCATTATACCGGTCCAAAGTTCAAATTGGTCGCTCTTCAACACTGGACTTTAAATGATATAGCCGTCCCTTTCTATGTGAAATCCCGAAAGGGCGGGCAAAAATAAAAGTTCAAAATGGTCAGGTAAAAAGTATGTATGTGGGTAATAAACCAAAAAATGAAATGCTTTTTCACATAACCCGAAGCTTATTGATATTACTTATCAGAACCTTAGTTCAAACAGCGATATGTCAAGCAGACATCAACCACCATCGCGTTTATCTCGACCAGATAAAACACATTACCCCCATATACAAAAAATAGAACCCCCCAAATGATAGAATTTGCGTGTTAGTTTTACCGACATTTAAACAAATTCGCTTTAATTTATTAACGCACTCAACATGGGGTCTACAGTACATTGTCACTTTTAAATATAGTCATTTAACTATGTATGTATTATCCATAAATATAGAGATGCATGTATATGTGTAAACTAGTATCAAAAATTAGTAGAAACGACACTTAAAACGACAACTGAAAAAATATCGAAAATATATATACTCATGTACCGTATTTATAAAAGTATGCGATAAAATAAAAGCCAACAACAACTTAGCACGCAAGTAGAAGACGTTGAGGATTTCGTCATGAAAATGCATTGTGGGATCATGGTAGAATGAATCAATCGCTCGGGGATAGTTAAAACTCCCACCGACCGGACGTTAGAATGTGTATAAGTGTGTGCGTTGATAAGGACAACAATAAATTAAAATCGACAAACTTGTGAGGTTTTTGTGCCATTTGATGGCGATCCATTTGCTTCTTATTTCGATTTAGTGTGAACTTGTCTATCAAATTGTTCAATTTGCTTTTAGTTTCGATGTTCCTCCTCTATGGTTTCATTTATAAAATATCAGGTTCTGCTATGACCAAAGATCGCTGTTGTGTCTATACATTTCAGTGTGCATATATCGGGCTGTGTGTTAAGAGGGCGTACTTATAGGATGTGCATCAGAATGTAAAACTTCCTGCCCGATCATTGCCTCAATCGAAGTTTAGCTTCCGGAAGGTTCCGTCGTTCGGAACGACGGTCACTAACGGAGCGGCCCTATCCTGCTCCCTCTCACTGGCCGCCCGCAATTTCTCATCCACGCCATATCGCTCGTCTTCCTTGAAGTACGTGGAAAAACTGGTCAACTGGGTCTCGTACCGCGTCATCGCATCCGCCAAAGAGCCATTCTCGCCGCCCATCTCCACGGGCAAATACTCCTTGCCAATGGCCTTTTGCAGAGACTCGACGTTAGAGTGGATGTGTAACTGCAGGATGCGTAGCAAAGGGTTAGTAGTTCGAGATCGCGTATGTTCCCTGTTAGACTCACCAGCTCCTTTTGCTTCATGACATTCCGAACCAGTCCCAGGACAAACTGCGTCTCCCTCGAGGCATTAACAATGTGGGTGGCCACCAAATTCGCTGGGATACCATGCTCTAGGAATGCATTCATGCGCTTGAACATACCAGGATCGAACTGCAGCAGCAGGGAGTAGGGGATCTTGGTAAAATCGATAATCTCCACCACGCCGGATATGTTCCAATTGTCGTCCGTGTTGATCTCGACCTCAGCGCGAAATGCGTGAAAGCGGAAAATGTCGCTGACACTGTGCTTGGAAGGCTCAATGTGGCCCATACGTGTGTAGTGGATACGGGGGCCCCCAGGGCCAATAGGTTTGGGCAATGTGGCGAAGATTCTGCAAATGGAAACGTTTTTCTAGAACAGGCATCTGCAGAAAATGGGGAGTCCCCGACTTACCCTGAACGAGCCAGTTCTAGCAGCTTATCGTCAACCAGGCGACTCTTGAGCAATTCTCTCTCCTTGGATTTGTAGGTGTAGTAGAAGAGTACTCTCTTCTTGGCCTCCTCCACGTCCCAGTGGCAGAAGCGCAGAAAGGCCACCAAGAACTGATCGTCGGTCCGCGCCTCCAGGTAATTCTGTTCGGAGATCCAGGTCCGCAGGGCCTCGATCTTCGCCACCATTGAGGACGGATCCTCGCAGAGCTGCGTTCGAGCCACCTCGGCCAGCTCCGGCACCAGCGATCGTATCTTGGCCATGGTCACAGGGGATCTGCAAATCGATGGATACTTGCCTTAAATTTTGAGATACGATACCGAAGTTTTGGCGTGTGCTAAGGGGTGTGTGTTCTGCGGCCAGGTGCGAGCACGACTAACAGAAAAGTTTGCGGCCGCCTGCTTGGACTGTGTTCCGATTCTGATAGGATCGGGAATACTCCGGATTGGACAGCGAGCACACTGGTGCAGAAGCACCCCAAAAACACAAGCCATTTGAGCTTCAGATTATGCGATATCAGTGGGCGATAGAGCAAGCACAAATAGCAATGTTTCGTGGATATGATAAGTACACTTGAAAATATATTTAAGCCTAAGTTTCGGTTAAGGTAATGAATTCGAAGTAGACGTATGTATTGATGCTTCATTGACAGGAAGAAGGAAGTGCTTCCGTCCATATATAGTATATATATTCTTGATCTTGATCCGTTTGTTTGTCTTTCAGCTTATGATATTTATTGGGATATTTTAAGTTTACTCCATAAGCAATCCCTCCCTAATATGGTGGTTTCTGGTTGTTTTAAGCATACATAAACGAATTCTCACTTGTTCGATAAAATACAATTTTTTTTCATTTTACTTAGCTATTTTTAGAAAACACATCCACTTGAAATAGCATTAACTTTTAAAGCCCAATTGGGTAATTCCAGCCAACTGTGCTTTTCCGACCCGGCGATAAGATACCGTCTGCATGCTCACAGCCGTTTGAACCGTGGCGTGTTTCTATCCGCAGACTCAGCGGCTTCTTCACCAGCTGCACGCATACCCGCCACAGATGCAGTCGAGCCGTAATCTTATCTGCGCCGACGAGAGACTTCGACCGCCCACACAACAGAAATGGGCTGGATTTGATGGTTGTGTGCGCTATCAGCAGAATGAGTGGCCATAAAAGCACCAGATTAGCTTTTAACGGTTCCGTTTCGGCCTGGGATTTTGGCCGCCGTGCGATTAGGAAGCGCGTTTAGTAGCCATCCAGCTGCCACGAAGCAAGCGACTACCCAGAAATGGCCGATCTGCGTCCCCTGAGCGTCGAGCTTCGACGCATTGCCGAAACGGAACTCAACGAGGTGGAGGAGCGATTGCCAGCGGATCTGAAAGCTCTGCGGGATTGGTTGGCCAAGCAACCCCATCTGAAGGTCCGCCAGGATGACCAGTTCCTGGTCGGCTTCTTGCGTGGCTGCAAGTTCAGCCTGGAGAAGACCAAGTCCAAGCTGGATCACTTTTACACTATCAAGACGCTGATGCCTGAGCTCTTTGGCAAAATATTGGTGGACGAAAAGAGCCTAATCTTGTGTCGATCTGGGTGAGTTTAGCCGTGCTCATCAAGGATACTTAAAAAACTCACATTTCGATTTAGAACCTATGTTCGATTGCCCAAACCCTGGGGAGTCGATGGACCCCGCCTGCAGCTTACGAACTATGAGAAATTCGATCCGAAGCAGTTCAAGTTATTGGATCTCTTCCGCTACCAAACCATGTTATCGGAACAGTCAATCCGTGAGGATGACCACAGCAACATCAGCGGCTACGTCGAGATCATTGACATGGCCAAATTGAGCCTCAGTTTTCTGGCCCAACTGGATTTCACGCTCATCAAAAGGATGGGCATATTCGCAGAGAAGGCACAGCCCACTCGCCTGAAGGGAGTCCACCTGATCAATTGCCCCAAGGAGGGAGTGGCGTTACTGAATCTGGCCAAGAGCCTCATGCCCAGCAAGCTCCAGCAGCGGGTAAGTGGGCTAGAATAATTGAATAGTCGTTGCCACTTTTGCTAATTTATTTTCGCTCCCTTATCGGACACTTCACCGAGATTATCAGCTGGTCTAGCAGGCAGCTGATATGTGCGTTGAAGAGCTCTGACACTCTGACTCTCACCCTTGAACTATTAATTAATAATTCTCGAATCAAAGCAACTAGCTTTGGAGCTGTGCCCGCCTACTGTGATGCACAGTGTGTGGAACAGCGTTGCCTAAGGTCAGTTGACCACTCACTGGGGCGTCTTATCATTGAAACGTTTGGCAGAGAGTAATCTATTTGCCTGACTCATCCAACACACATGGCGCTCTACTCTTGCAGTTTCACGTGTACAAAAATCTGGAGCAATTAAATGAGGTGATACCACGCGAATACCTGCCGGAAGAATATGGCGGCACCAATGGACGTATAGCCGACATTCAGGCGGAGGCGGAGAAGCAATTGCTGTCCTATAGGAGCTACTTTGCAGAGGATGCCCAGTACGGAGTGGATGAGCATCTGCGACCTGGAAAGCGTGTTAGTGCGGATTCCATTTTCGGTGCTGAGGGATCCTTCCGAAAACTCGACATCGATTAAACCCGTAACATGTTTCACTTAGTATTTGAAGAAATATGAAAACGGAAAATACCTCAATAAAAATCAAAAACAATCCTCCAAAAGGCTAACTGGAGTTTATGAGAATCGCCGAGAGTGACGCGACATATGGCCAAATCGCAGGGCCATTAGCTTTTAGCTAGCACTATCTGTGGCACTTGCTAACAGCTTTGTCAATCAGCTAACAAAATTCAGAGGGATCAAGTTTTGGTCATGTTTATTGGGCGAACGCTAAGCCAGTTCCTCTGCGGTTGGCGACGAGGCAGGAATCCAACGGAATGGCTTTGCTTTCAAGCAACGACGAAGTTAGTATGAGCAGGGTTCCAATTGCACAGTAGTTAAACCTTTTCCCCTAGTTCGACTTCGGCAAGTGGGACTTCCCAGCCGAGCGCATCTGGCTGCACAAGTCCAGCGGGGAGATCATCTGGAAGATCTGCACGTTTCTGCCACTGATTGCCTTTGGTCTGTATGGAAACTTCACCATGCTGTATCTGATAGCCACCAATCGTTCCTTGCGATCGCCCACCAATCTGATTATTGCAAATATGGCCGTTGCCGATCTACTGACCCTGGCCATCTGCCCAGCCATGTTTATGGTGAACGACTTCTATCAGAACTACCAGTTGGGATGCGTGGGCTGCAAGCTGGAGGGCTTTTTGGTGGTGCTCTTCCTCATCACAGCCGTGCTCAATCTCTCGGTAGTCAGCTACGATCGTCTCACGGCCATCGTGCTCCCAATGGAGACGCGCCTCACCACAAGGGGCGTCCAGATAGTGGTCGTCTGCACCTGGCTCTCGGGCATCCTATTGGCATCACCATTGGCTTTCTATCGCTCTTACAAGGTGCGCGTCTGGAAGAACTTTACGGAGCGATACTGCAAGGAGAACACCTCCATCTTGCCCAAGTACTGGTATGTTCTAATCACCATTCTGGTGTGGCTGCCATTGGGCATCATGCTCATCTGCTACATAGCCATCTTTTATAAGGTAAGCAACGATTGGTCTCATGGATCTGGGTTTACAACTAATAAGCCATCTCAAGCACAGCTCGATCGGTATGAAAAGCGGGTCCTCAGTCGCGAGAATCCGCTTACAGTGAGCTACAAACGCAGCGTGGCCAAGACACTGTTCATTGTGGTCGTTGTGTTTGCAGCCCTACGGCTGCCATTTACCATTCTAGTTGTGCTGCGGGAAAAATACTTCGGCGAGGATGTCTCTGTCAGCAGTGGAATGCAGCTGTTCTGGTACATCTCACAGTACTTGATGTTTCTGAACGCCGCCGTCAATCCGCTGATCTATGGCTTCAACAACGAGAACTTCAGAAGGGCCTACTACCAAATCTCTTGGGTTCGCCGTTGGCGAGAGGCTGCGAAAATGAAGAAGGTTTCTAAAACATCAAATCACTGCTGCTACTGCGCCTTCATGAGGAAGGGCAAACGGAGCCCAGAAGCAGCACAACAGGCGGGAACTGTAAAGGGGGACGTAAGCAAGGATATATCCTCGGAGAAGGAATCGGCCAAGTCAACCAAGATAATGGAAAATGACCCGACTGGTTTGCTTGTATCAGAAATCGAGGCAGACGGGTTTATATAAAAGAACTTGAAGAGAAGCAAGTACTATGTCTTTCATATTCTGATACATTGTAAAGGCCCAATGGAAAAATACCAACATATAAACTTCTCTCAGTTCTGATACGCCCACTACGAAACAGGGTATCCAAACATCTGACTATATCTCTAAATGAAGCTTTAAGAACCGTAAACTATGATGACTGGTAGTAAAAGTTACTTTGCAACCAGTGCACGTGGTACAGTTTGAATGTTACGTTTTGTATAGTTTACAAAAAAATAAATATATGTATCAAATGTGTCGCAATTTGTTTATATTGATCTTTGCGGCTGCGATCGCCCGCGCGATCAGTTTCGCAGTAAACTTCCAGGAAACCTATCCCACACACTTCCTGAACTCGGATCACACATCGCTGCTCCACAAAAGGGCGACTGAGGTGCCTCAGTTCTTCGACCAAGGTTTGCAATGATATAACAAACTTTATTTACACTTTAAATTTGGCTGGGCGTTCCGCTCAGGCTAAACCAAACAATTCAGACTTCATGTAGCCAAATCCGTGGGCCTCGAGGAACCGAATGAACTGGCCCATGTTCATGACGCCCTCTTCGGCATTGAAAAGCTGCTCGCTGAAATCCTCGAATCCCCGCTTGCGCTGCCGAGGCTCATTCCGCACCACAGAGATCTTTTGCCACCGAAGGGCCTTGATTGTGCGCCAAAATTGCTGAACATTCGCGGCCTCACCTTCCACGCATATGATGCCCGGTTTTCCGGGTCGACTGAATCCCGTGAGTTCCAACTGACGGGCCTGTCGAATCAGCTCCTGCCGCTTGGCGGTGGATTTTATGTGATGGGAATAAATCCAAATTCTCTCAAGCTGACTGACTGGTGGCTGTTGTGGATCTGGTGATGCTACTAGCTGCACCTCAAACTCGGAAGCTGGTCGTTTGAACAGATCCTCGAGGTGCTCCTGCAGCCAGCTCAACAGCTGGAAGATGTACGGCTCTGCGTCCTCCGCGCGCCTTTCACTCTGATACTTCTCTAAATCATTCTTCAAACACTGCTCCTTGGATTTTCCCAGTAGCGCAGTGTATACACTGACGCGTGCCTGTTCCAAAAGCGGATATAAATGCGGCAGCTCCACTCGGACTTCCACGCACTGTTTGCCCGGCAGTGTTAGCTTCACCACATACTCCAAATGGGAGAGTAGACTAGTTGCCGGTTTGGTCTTATCTTCCTCGAGAAACTCATTGAAATCAGCCACTACGCCGGCATCGAGCATATGCAGCTCTCCGGGCGCGCAATATATGGAGCTCAACAGCTCCAGCTCCTCCAGCTGCTGGCCAATGCAGCGGCGGTAGGTTTGCAGCTCCTCCTCGGCCATGGCTAACGAAGAGTTAGAAAGAATTGTTTGGTTTAGTCAGCGGCGACGCATTACGTACGACCCTAACCTAGGGATGTAGGCGACTTAAAGTACAAAGAGCTGAAGAAGAATCGTATGTGATTAGTTTTTATAAAGCTTATTGTCTAAATATCTTGTGCCTCCTCTCCCAGCTAGCTTCAGTTTCGATGGACTAACGCGAGTGGCCTCCGTGCCAGTGTCCTTTCCCCTCGACATATGCATCCTCCAACTGCCCACGGTCAAGTACGCAACGGCTTTGCATAAAAATGCCGCAGGACTGCGTCACTTTGCCGTCTACAGCTGGCGTCCAGCTGAGCAGGACTACCAGCTGCTCATGGAGTTGGAAACACCCAAAGCGGTGGCTCTGGATTGCCTGGCCTTCGCTGGACGTGGCTACGTTGCAGTAAGTTACAATCTTACAGAACCCGTAAGTCAGGCCCGCGAAGGATCACCCATCTATGAGATTTCCCCGGAAACGGGGATACGGACAGTGCAATATTTTTCGGGAACGCATCTGCGGGGAATGTACCTTCGGATCAGCAGCCAAGAACTTACTCTACTGCATGCCTTCGAATCGGAAGCGCAGTGTCCCTATTTCAAGTGGATGGGCAAGAGTTTCCAGAGAATGGGCGCGATTCACTGCAGCAATGCTCGTAGAATGGAAGCCTTCGGCATCGATTACACCGACTATGTGGCCGTAGCCAACTACGCAGATGCGGAGGGACGAACTGCCACCCACTCAGCGATCTTTAGATGGGATGCCAAGTCCCAGAGATTTCAGCTCTTCCAGCGACTGCGCAGCAATGGAGCCGTGGACGTAAAGTACTTCAGCCTCCCAGTAAACGAGGTCAGCCGCAGGCACTTTCTCATTCTGGGCAACACATTTGGAGGAACTGGCGCCGAGGTGGGCGAAGCGGACACCGTGATTTATGTCTTTGAAAAGGGGCAGTTTGTGCCCTACCAGCGATTGAGTTTCTATGCATTGGAGAGGGTTTTGCCAGTTCAGGTAATTTCGGATCAAACTTTCAATGGCCAACATAAAATGTTGTATCCTTTAGCACTCAATATCGGAGAAGTTTCTACTCCTGGTTGCTTGTAGTAAACAGGATGTCAAGATCTACAACCTCAACGACTGGCGATTTGAGGAGTCTAAGGTGCAGTTCACTGAGGGAGCTCTGAGTCGTGGAGTGGCACGTATGAGAAGTTATGAGGAGGGTGGTCATAGCTATTTGGGTAGGAATCTGTGGGCTTCTTTACAACCTAAACTAAGATTGTCCAATACACAGTGATTGCGAATGAGAATATGGCGGCCAACGAGACAAACATCTTTCAGCCACTCTACAAACAAGATGAGCATGCCAACATTCTTCGCCAGCAAATCATTGACTGGGCACGGGAGCAAAGAAAGCGTTTGGAGCAAGTAAATTTGGAGCATCTATTAAAAAGACTGGAAGTGAGTATTGTGTTTTATCAGATTCAATAATTAAGCAATTCATGTATATACATATAGGACAAGTTAAAGCACCGTGAGGAGAAACTAAAATGGTCGGTTATCAAAAAAGTCAACGCCAAATCGGTAAGTAGCACGAATATCAAATTATTTTGATTAAAAAAACATGTATTTTCAGTTCGAGGATAAGCACATGAAGCTCACACCTAATTACTGGAAGGCTTTAAAGCTAACCAAGCACGCCCTGGATAAGATCGAACAGAAAGCGACTTCAGCAGCTTCCAGACATCCCAATAAGAGATCCATTGATCAAACAAATGAGGAACTCAACTTCGATGAAGTCACCGTGGACACTCTGGTGGTGCACGGCACAGTTAGAGCAGACCATATCAATGGAGTTGATATGAGGAACCCTGTTTACGATTCCGTGTCTGCCAATAAGGTTTATGTAAGCGCGAAATACACCGAATCCGCCGGAAAAGAAAGAAAACCTCTGCTGGAGGAGCTAACAGTGAAGGATCTGCAAATTGACGGGCGACTAAATGGCTTCAAATGGGCAGAACTCTTTGATCTGACTCTAAAACGCAGCAACATGGATGTGCAGTTTATCAAGGCAGCTGTAGACTTGGATCATCTTGAATCCGACGCTGTCCAAGTCAATAACAACGAGATTAACGATCGCCCGTTGGGTCAGCTGATTCCAGTGG